ATCTGATTGAAATGGTTATCTGATTGAAATGGTTATCTGATTGAAATAGTTATCTGATTGAAATAGTTATTCGATTGAAATAGTTATCGGATTGAAATAGTTATGATTGCCAAAATCTGACAATTAAAAAGGTTCTCACTGCAATGACATGAAGTCTAGTAAAAATAATAATCAGAACGTAAGAAACGAAATTCACATATTACTTATTTTTTTATATTGATAACTAATGGTTAAACTTGAAAGCAAAATTTGCCTGCAGCTGCCAACTAAAACATGTATTTGTTGACTTACGAAAAGAGCAGAAGTGACTGAAAATAGTTGAACAATTTTGGCGTAAACGGATCAAGAAATCCACCCATTTTGATTTATTCTTTAATTTTTAAGCTACAGATTATTTTTCACATGGTTTTTGACAGATTTGGCCAAGTGCTTAATTTACGCCGAGTGTGTACTCTCTGAAATGCAAGCCAATATTTCTGGACAACTACAGGAGTAAACTCTTTGAAAGAGGTCAGAGAAACTTTCTATGTTTGATTTCATAGTTTGCAATGAGTTCCTTTGAACTTCGCTGTGGATGGGAAATTGAGCCTAAGAAAGATATAAAGAAGCTGTAACCTGAAATGTACAATAATATTATTTCAAATGTCTTTTTTTGTTGTTGTAGTAGTAAAAATGCCACAGTTGAATAACCCAGATGACACTTTTTAAATATATTCAATGAGAAATCTTTCAAGCCTGGTGCTGATTTGAAGAAAACTAATTTGTCATAAGTTTGTCAAAGGTGGAGGTATTTTGGTACGGTCTCCAGAAACACTCAAACTCTCTCTTGTCATGTCCATAACTTTTGATCCACTAAAGATTATTTAACAAAACTTCATACACTTGTGCATCATTACTAGACGGGTGTATATACTGGGTCATATATGCTGTCCTCTTGTTTACTGACTGTATTATGAACACATATTAAAACACCAGAATATTTAGTTTAATATTAATAAATGGCAACGTTTAATTTGGCAAACAATTATATATTATATATCCTACACACCACTACTTGCAGCATGAAGCCGTCTTAATAATCAGTCTCCTCTGTTACGCGCTAAAATTAAGACGTCACTAAACCCAAACCTCAGCAGGATACTAGAATAAAACCGTTTAAAGTCTTGTGTTCAAGCCATGCTGAACACATGCGTGCGCACAGCTACTACAATGTTGTGATAGCAGCTCGGAGCAACAGCCGGAGGATAATCCGCTGCTAAATAAAGCGCTCTGATCAGAGCTCCACCAGATGGACGCAGCGCTGCAGCGCGGCTGTGGGTCCATTGTCGGACACGCCTCAGCGTCGCAGCACGGCGGCCTCTTTGTAAAGCAGCTGACAAATCTGCTTTTCGTTGAAGTTAGCAACATTGATTTAGGGACGGTGGAAAAAAAAGGCGCTCGACTGACGCGAGGTCACATGAAGCGAATCAATTTCATTTATTTAGAAGGCGAGGCCGCTCTTGTCCGATATTGGATGCCCCCAAATTAGCTAGAGGCGACCTCGGTCCGGTGAGCTGTTCGCCGAGAAAGTTTTCAGAGACCCTCTCTGGCTCTAAGAGAAGAAAACCTGCTCACCTCATGTCGTAAACACAGCCATGGCTTGCTGGCTGTCGGTGACAGCGTCCTTCAGCGCGAGCACCAGCTGGGTGAGGTGGGAATGAGGCGGATTAGTGACGGACAGGTAAAGTGGAGGAGGAGTGGGGGCACCATGGGTTCCTATAGCTTTATTTAGCCCGTCTGTTTTGGCAACAAAAACACTCAACCTTGCACTTCTCAGTGTCTCCCCTTACAAATTTAATAAAATTCATTTCATTTAACCATATGGAGGATTATTATTATTATAAATGAGTACTCGTGACAAATGAGACTAACCTGTATAAATAAAGGTTGAATGAATTGTGATGCTACTAACCAGGGTAACAATGTAGCTGGCTGCTTCAGGGCTAGACTGCTGTACATTTTATAATTCTCTCAATAAACAAGCTCCAGCTGAATATCTCTTTGTTTTCATATTTCACTTCTCAGACTGCAGGTTTACGTGTGGTTCCTAAAGTTCCCAGAAGTAGAATGAGCAATCACTTACTGTATTCATCTTTCTTACTGTAAAACCAGCTTCAAGTTTTAAAAGTTCCTTTTTGATAAAACTTACTAAGGCAGACTCGGGTAAACCATGCCTTAATGTTTCAGACTGCAGGGAACTTTATGATCCCCTATTTTCTTTACTCTTGATCCCATTATATACCATTATTATCAAAAAGTTGCATGATTAACATCCATTTACAACTTTGTTAAACATTGAAATGAAAATATTCATACCCACAATCTCCTCCTCTTGACTTGTTTTATTTTTTGGTCATCTCCACCCTGAACAACTGCTTTTTGGCCATTGGAATTGTCTTTTAGCATTTAGGAAGTTTATTTGATTTCCAAAATAAATTGCTGCCATGCAGGTTTTTGTCAACATTTTATTGCCATTCTTTGCAATATGGATATTGCAGTAGGCATACATTTTAAATAAACTGTTGTTCTGTCATTATCAGACTTGTGTTTTTATTACTTTTCTCTAGGTATTAGCTGCCTCCATCTGTAGCCCTTTAAAAAAAAAAATCTACATCCGAGTCTCAAAGGAAGGTTGTGAGCTGTAACAAATACAGGAAAATTTTTATTCAATGCCAGCTTATTGTAAGTGAGCTCAGACTTTAGCGAGATGTTGCCGGCTCGATGTGGGACTTATGAAAAAGTTAAAGGTGGTTTAAAGAGATCCTCGTCTCTTATGATAAAACATTTTTGTAAAAAAGCCTTGTGTCTCTTCCCTGTCCCCCGTCGGTCGAGGCAGATGACCACTCATCCCAATCTTGGTTCTGCTACAGGTTTCTTCTTGTTAAAAGGGAGTTTTTCCTCTCCACTGTCACCTGCCACTATTTGCTCAAAATGAGGGATCCAATAAAACTGAAGATTCAATACAATCTGCTGCCTTCCTTCAATAACACAACTTGTTACTAATTTCCATTTTATGGTTTACAGATTCAGATTTTATTTTTCAATTAGGGCGGCACAGTGGTGAAGTGTTGAGAGCTGTTACCTCTCAGTAAGGACAACACCAGATCAAAATCCCAGCCCACAACCTTTCTGGGTGGAGTTTGCATGTTCTCTCTGTGCATGCGTGGGTTTTCTCCAGGTACTCCAGTTTCCTCCCACAAACCAAAAACATGCATGTTAGGCTGATTGGTGACTCTAAATTGTCTCTAGTGTGAGTGGTTGTTTCCTTGAGTCCTTGTGATGGACTGGAGACCAGTCCAGGGTGTCCCCCGCCTCTTGGACAGCGACTACTGCATATGGGCACCAGTGATCCCCGCAACCCAAAAAGGGAGAAGCGAGTAAAGCTGATGGATGTTTTTAAAATTGTATTATAATTTTATGATTCAACTTGTCTGATTATGTGTACATTTTTCATCGCCCCATCAACCCGCCCAAAAAAATAAAAAATAGACTGACTTGTGAAGAACTAAAAATTATTGTGTTTAATGGCAATAGCAACGCATTCTGTTTTTTGTAGTACATGTCTAAACACCAAATCTGACGGCATTTGTTATCTTGTGACGCAGTAAAGCAGTTCCAACACAAACACCTAATATGGAAAAACATTTACCACAAAACTACAAAAATAATGTGCAAAATCTAAAGCGTTGTCATCAGATTGTATAAACTTCATCTTGATTTTGGGTTGCTCCTCTTTTCACAGACTCCATCCTCCATCTATTATGTGCTCAGTTCCAGTCACGTAGGCTGACTGTGGAGGGCAACAGCACCACAAAGCATTCAGATCAGTCACCAGAACTTTAGAGACCTTAGAATAAATACACATTTAATGCATCGTCGTGAGCACTCACCTCATCTGAAGCCAGGTACACGCAGAGGTACGCCACCTCTTCAGCTGTGCACATTCTGCCCGTTTTCTGCCGTGCCATAAAATCCTTGTAAGCCTGTGAATGAGTTACAGTTGCAGCACTCATTAACTCTAACAGCATGTCATATTTATTTGCATGAAGCTAGTGATAATGTATTAAATTGCACATGCAGTTTTTTTTTATATATATATATTTTTAAATCAGATTAAGACTGACAAATGTAAGTCGAGGTCTACAGTACTTGTTCTGGGTCAGGTTGAGCTTGGATCCTACCCCTCAGTGACGGAGTATCTACAGTCCCTGTGGAAATATAAACCAGCAGGTCAGACACCTTTCAACAGGAGGCCAAGTACAGAATCACTGGTTCCAGTGAATACGGGATCACTGGATCCACTTTTGACTAAATGTGTACATTTGATAATGAGGATGAGGTCAAGGTCAAATCTGTGGCACAGACAACCCTCTAGATATGAAAGAGATTGTGCCGCCCTTCAAGGCACGTATCTAAACTGTCTTTTATGGGCGGCTGTGGCTGACTGGTTAGAGCAGTCGTCCTCCATTGGGAGAGTTGGGGGTTCAATTCCACCAGTAGTCACATGCTGAAGTGTCTCTGGGCAAGACACTGAACCCCTCATTGCCTCTGATGTGTGTCCCATCGGTGTATGAATGTGATCTAAAGCTCTGATTAGTCTCTATAGAAGGATTTGTTCAGATAATCTTTGTATAGATCTAGTAGAGTGCTCTATGAATGCGTGTGTGGAGGTAAATGAGGGCACAGATTGTAAAGACCTTTGAGGATCATGATTAGATAGAAAGGTGCCATATAAGTACAGTCCATTTATGTTTTAAAGTGATAGTGCAGATCTGTTGATTAGTGGTTCTGTTTATTTTTTTATTGTAGGTAGCTCTTTGAATGACTGACACTTTTAAAGAAATATCTTTGAATTCTGTCCAGGATGATGAGATTCATTCATTGAATTCAATCTTTATTTATACAGGTTAGTCCCATTGAGCCTCAGGGACTCATTGACAAGAGAGACCCGAGATAAGAGAGATGACGGTTAGTCAGAGCTGGTTCAGGTTTATTACACAGTTATTTACATATAATTCTGCACGTCATTACAAACACAAACAGCAGCAGCTAGCTGTAACTCTTCGGTGTACGTTCAGCAGAAAAATCATGTTTCTGATGGATTACTTACAGCGTACAAACATTTAAAATAGCTTTTCCATGAGCTATTATGAATCTTTGAGAGAAGTTGTTTTCAGACAGGAGGAGTCCACTTTGAGCCTGGATCCACTCAGACTAGCCTTTAGCTCACCAGTCTGGTCAGAATTTAACTCTTTACTGTCTTTTGCCAAAGGCTAAGGTAAGTTGTGATGGACCATTGATTTCCTTCAAACTGAGGTTGCTCAGGAGCTACCTACAACTGGCGCTGAAAGTACCTGTTTTTAATCTTTTATTGAAGAAGTTGGCTTGAAAATATCTGAACTATCCCTTTAAGCAGCAGACAGTTTATGCATCTTTGAAGTACAAAACGTCTCCTAATATAGAACACCCCTAATTATCTAAAACCATTGCTTCAGGAGTTCTCAGGTAAGTTGAGTGAATACTGAAACGACTAAAGATGCATGAGCGGATGTTATTTATCTCGATGTTTACAACTTACCGGGACAAACACAGTTACAGCGAATGCCTTGCTCAATAAAATCTGCAGCAATTGATTTGGTGAGTCCAATCACGGCCGCCTTTGAGGTACTGTAGACACACCGGTTCACCACACCTGTGTCCAAGAGGTGCACGTCACACACACACACACAGTCATTTGGTATAAGTTTATAGTAAATGGTCAAACTTGAACCGTATAAAGTCTTTAATCAGGAGTGCTGTAGCAACATTCAAAGGTTTAAAACGTGAAAGATTATTCACCTTTTATGCTCGAAGCTACAGATGCCATGTTAATAATGTTTCCTGACTTCTTCGCCAACATCTAGAGGGACAAAGTAAAATTGGACGAGGATATAAAATTAGAAAATAATCTAAATGTGTTGGGGTTTTACCTTGAAAACAACAAATAAACAAATGTGCGTTGATTTGAGCCAAAAGTCTTCAAGCAGGCAGTTTGCTAAATTTGTGGCTAAAGCTGGATTAGTAGCTGGACAGTCACAGCCTATCATGTCACGGGCTCAGAGTAATACAGCTAATCCTTGGGGTAAAGACTTAGAACAACACTAAAGGCATATGTCGCTCAGTTTTTAACTGCACCATTTGTTCGCTCTGAGCACACGATGACGAGAGGAAGGGTCACCTTAGGCAGGAAGGCTTTGCACATGAGGTACATGCTGCGCACGTTCACATTCATGGTGAAGTCCCAGTCGGCCTCTTCGCAGTCCAGGATGGAGCCGTGGTGCACAAACCTGTTTCAGGTGTGGAAACAGACACAGCAGCTGAAACAGTTTCCCTCCCAACAAAACCTTAGAGTTAATCAGCTCATACTGAGAATCTTTGATTTGTCACATAAATAAATGGTACACCAATGTCCGCGGTCACTGAGGGGCTTGAATGTTTGTAGTCTTCGAGATGAGTGCCCCCCCACCCCTCGATTTGAACAAGGAATGCAAGTAAACCTTAATGTCTTGGGTGCAAGACATTCAAGTGGGTCAGAGTTACACTGGAGAACAATGGAGAGGTTTGTTTTTTACAACGTTTCAGCAAAAAAACAGAAACTGTCCAGACGACCTGACTGAAAATTGTTGGATTTTATACCTGGATTATTGAGCATGGACTTTGTTGTTTTCAACCAGTTTGACACGACTGTCAACAAGGAAGAGGGCCGGCAATGGAGGAGGGGGCGTGACAAAGAGACCAACTTATCACCAACATAACTGGTTTGTTCCACTTTGGAGTAAGCTGTTGGGGGAAGAACCAGTTTTGTTGTGTTTCCTTGACTGATGAAGCCTTCCGGATCGAAGGCGAAACGTTTCAGCACAAAAACAGAAACTGTCCAGATGACCTGACTGAAAAATGTTGGATTGTTTTTACTGTTTGTCCGAAGTGCAGGGTGACGGATCCTGGAGAGTGCAGGGAGACACTTCATCTACCACCAGGCACAATGGAGGAGCCAAGGAGTGGCCAATGGTGGCCTTGGCCATCATAAATCAATCTTCAGCCACCCTGATCATTTGAGGAAATTTATAAGAAATTTAAAAAGTGAAAAGCATAGTTTCCTCAAATGATAGGGATGGTCGTGTGTGTGGGGTGGCCATCTTGGATTTTGACATGGCAACTCAACTTTCAATAGGGTCCTTTCTTACATCAAGGTGAAGACACACACTAAATGTTTTCAAGTTATCCAGCTCTCAAGAAGGAAAGACAGAGGGATTTGATTTCCCACTTTGCTTTGCGATGGGGGACGGATAAAAAAACGATGTAGAGCACAACAAAGAATAAATATTAAAGGTTCAGAATTCCTTGAAGAAACACATCTCACCCAGTGCTTTTCATGGCAGAATTTGAACCTAATTATCACGATTATACGTGAGATGACAGAGTTACAGCCTTTCTGTCAAACCTTGTAATGGACATGCACGATCTTGTGCGATATTTTGACATGCGGGGAGATGCGTTAGCACTTGGGAGTATGTGTTGAGGATCACTCTTGGCTACTACCACACCAAAACTTAGCTCAGTATCTGTAAAAATGGCCATGTTTCAGCCGTTTTAGTGTTAGCTGTGGCGGCCATCTAGAATTGGGATGACTTCAAAAGTTAGAGGTGTAGACAACAAGGATTACGTTCTCTGAGTTACATTTAAATCTGTCCAGTGGTCACGGTTCACAAATAAACACACACACCCACACACACACAGAGGAAGAAACATTATCACTCATTCGCCTCATGTAGCAGGCAATAATTAGAAATCTCTCTGTCCCTGACAGGAAGTCATTACAAAACCTTAAAGGTGACGTTTGTTCCTCTGCAATGACACTGAGACAAAGTCAAGTGAAGCGTCAACTGTGTGGTACGGGGTTTTTAGAAAGAGACGATGCAGAGTGAGGTTCAAGGTCGTTCAAGATCATTCTTTACATTCATGTTAATATATAAAGGGATTAAAATCACAGAAATAAAAGTACCCTGCAACGTTGAACAGCACATCAACATGGTCATGTTCTTTTGCCAGAGCTTCCACTTGGTCCTTTTTAGTCACATCCACCACTTTGGTTCTGATTCCTGATGATGAAAAAAATCATTTTTAAAAAAGACTCATTTTAATAATACAAGCACATTTGATTTCACTACTTTACTGCGTATTAGCAAACACATTTCAATGTATAGCATTTCAATTATATACACAATAAACATCAATTTTACCCAGAATTTAACAGTGTTGAGCAAAATAAATCTTTGAAGGCACAGAAAAGGAGTCAAACAAATAAATAAGAATAGAGAAAGGATATAGTAATGTAGTGGAAAAAATTTTATGTCAAACACCAAAACTGTAACTTTGAGGAAAAACACAGATATTCTCTGAGCTCTAACTCATAGTTGTATTAAAAATTTGGTTTATTAAAAAAAACAAAAAAACAATAGCTGACATTAAGGTATAATTATTAAAAAAAACTTTTTTCTAAGAGTTTAAATGATTAACTAGAGGAGGTGAGGTGAAATTATTTTCACTTAAAAAGCTAAATAACATTTAACAACAACAACAACAAAAAAACAAGCTCTATCGTCCCTAAAAACATCTTTTAATTTGATTCAAAGATTTATTCAAGACATTACCGCTTTTATTAACTGAACAATGTATTTAAATTAAACCTAAAGTGATTTACAAACAGAATCATATAAGAAAGATAAAAGCTCATTCTTTATACAACTACAGCGATACATAATTGTACAGCTTTTTTAACGTCTCAAAACTTTCTTTTTCTAAACAACTAAATATAAAGCCTTAAAAATATGCTTACACAACTCAGTGGAATGCAACAAATGACATAGAAAAGGCAATAAAAAGAGTGTAAGAGGGACAAAATGTTATAAAGAGGTTGTTTTATTCCAGCGCAGTCAGCTACAGTTTTTTGTCTCTTGTATTCAGGATGTGAGTAAATTAAGATCTAGAGCAGGGATACTAAACTAAACTAAACTGCTCATGGGGCCACAGTTACTGAAAGCTAAGAGTTCAGGGGCCAGACATCCAGCACTTATTGTCATTAAGAAAGTTTGTTTTATGGTTTAAAATCTAGTTTTATTTAAAAATGAACCCACTGGTGGGCCTAACTGAGCTCATCTGTGGGCCTGATTTGGCCCCTGGGCCACCAGTTGAATAGCCCAAAATGATCCGTTTATTTCGTCAACGCTCCGTTTCCCCTTGAACAACAATTAAAAGTGCCCCGACGGGGAAAAGAAAGAGGAAAGTGTAATAAAATAACAAGCAGCTGAATTTATTTCACTTCTCTGACTCAACATTAGGGAACTCGATGAGCAGAAAAAGTTCTGCAGGTGAACACGTAAGTCACGAATCAGGCCGGACTTGTTTATACGAGTGTCAAAAACATTTTAGTTCATGGAAAGTTCAAGTCAAAAATAGAATGTGGTTAAAGATGTTGCAAAATTTAACATGTTAGCTCATAATAATGAGGATGTAAAGATTTAAAGGCTCCAGTTTGCATCTTTTTGGTTTCCCAGCAGATGGCAGCTGCAGACCAACAAACATTTTTACCTTTAATGCCGTCCAGCTCCTGCAGCTTGTCTCCATTTATGTCTGTTGCTGTGACTTGAGCTCCTTCCTTTGCAAAAGCCTACAGGTTAAAAAAAAAAAAAAAAAGTCCAAAGTGTGCAACTCACATTCCCATTGTAACCTTTGAAAGACCACTTTGCTCTGAAACTGTAAGTCGAACGCACAAGGTTTACTTTAGAAAAAGCTATTTGGATGAATAAACGTTTGATGGTGGAGGAACAATGACAGGTTGTGAACAGATCTGAATGAAGGGAGCGTTTTAAAGATCATCAGTAACAGTCAACGCTATGCTCTGGAAGATACAGACTGTCAGTTTCTAACCTGAGCTCATTCTCGTCGCCTTTTAAAGTGTAAATACAGTTGGCCGTGTCCCCTCACACTGTTTGCATCGTTTTAGCTGTGATGTGAAGCCACTGAGCTGAAACTACTGGAGCATACTGTAGTACTTAAGACATAAAACCTTCTTACGCAAGGCTCACTCGAGAAGAAATAAATGATCCAGTCTTGACATGAATTCCTAGAAGACTCGAGTGTTTTGTTACCTCTGTTGAGACCAAGTTGGCCTGAATGTGTCTTTTTACCGTCTCTAAAATTACTGAGCATTTGTTTTTTACATTATGGGATAGAAACAGAAGTATGCATGTGATTTACAATAACACGTATTATCAAGGAGGTTTGAATTTAAGCTTTTTACTGTAGCGGCAGCACGTCCAATCCCCTGTGCGGCAGCAGATACCACGATCACTTTCCCATCCAGTCGGCCCATAATGCACCCCTCACTGCTCCTGTGACTCGGAAAGACAAAAACTCAGAGTAGTGACCACAAACAGCCTCAATGTGACCATAACATGGTGTACTGGCCATGGGATACACTGATTTCTTTAAAAAAAAAGGCTATTGGAAAAATACTGGTTGACCTCAAACCCAAACCACGACAAATAGGGTCAAAAACAAACTGGCTCAGCTGTCTACAACAGGTAAGATATTGTTTATAACTTTTTCTCATAAGTTTAATGGATAATATTTTTTGTTTTATTTGCTTTGCCTTTATCTGATCCAACTCCAAGGGGAAAAAAACACACTGTATCTTTCAATCTACAATTGACTACGAGAACATTTCTATTTAAACAATTAATTAAAATCTCAAGAGCATTCGCCATCCGAAAATAAATAAATAAAAAATACAGAAATGAGGCTTTAAACACCTTAAAACTTAGCATTTCTTAAACACGGGCTTATTTTATTCTATTAGCTCACACGTGGTAGGGTTTTATTCATCTTGTGAACTACTTTCAGCAAACTGGTGAAAAACAAATTACAGCTGTCACTGAGCACAGTGCATCTAAAACAATTAGAATATCCTGAAAAAGTTCAGTATTTTTGGTCAATAACTTCATTTGAAACTCAGATATTACATAGATCCATTACACAGAGTGAAACATTTCAACAAGCCTTTATTTCTTGTAATTTTGGCTTACAAATAATAATGATAAAGAAAACCTAAACTTAATGTATGATCCATTGTTGCTTAACATAACACCTGTGTTAGCCTGCAGCTTCTCAAACTCTACTTTCATTCCAGTTACAACAAACCAAACAGCACGTCGAAGATCGTCAAAGAGCATGGAACAACCTTTGCTCATGAAGTTTGGAAAATAAAAGTGGACAAGAAAGTTTAAGAGATTAAAGCGAACCTAGAAACTCACCCGTCAGTTCCAGTGAGCGACACGTGACACGTGACGTCCTGCTCGTACGGTGATTGGCTGGAGACCAGGAAGTAATCTGTTAAAGAAACAGTCCACGCTGAAAACTGGGAGGGCTTCAATCAGCTGAAAATGGCTTTTTATAATATTAAAAGACATATTCTGTTCTTTTTTATTAAATTGATTAATGTTTTTAAATCTAGTTAATTTCTGTTTCTCCTTACTCTTCTTTTATAAAGCTGCATTGTTCCGTATCTTTGTGTATGAACTTTGACGCAACATAAAGCTGGTGTCTTGCTCCTTGTTTGAGTATTTGTGATGTATTTTAAAACTCATCTGTCCAGTAACGCTTGAGAGCTGACTACACTTACTAAAGTAATAAAAAGTAGTGCATTTGAAGTTTATTTTTGCAAGTATACTTTAAGTTATGTATAAGTATATCAAGTATAATGCACACCACACTTGTAGTGTACTAGAAGTATACTGATTTAATACTTGTTTGGACTAAATTGGGACATTTTTATAGTATTTTTAAGTATATCAAATAAAGTTTGTAAAAAGTAAACTTCAAGTACACTTCCTCATTTTTAGTGTAAAAAAGTATACTTATAGTACACCTAAATAAACTACTTTTTGCTAAGGGCCGTGGGTTCAAGATCTTCAAAATAAATGAAAGCTCAGAACTAAATAATGATCATTCATTGGGCTTCTGCACAACAACATGAAATTAAACACATTCTTTGAATGAATTCCTCCCCACCTTCCACTCCAGAGTTTTAAACTGAATAGAGGTCTATATTGCTGATGATATCGCAGCCATTTTTGGTCAAATGTTTTAAATTTATACAATGCACATCTCATGAAATATTGTGACATCTTGCAAGATATGAAAGCTGAAATAAGGCGAGGACGACTGCAGTTAAACTCACCACCTGGTAGAAGTAGCATCCAAATGAACCAAAAACAGTTTGTTTAGTGAACCATGTTGTCAGATACCCTGTAACCCTCTGATATATAACCTTTTGTATTTTCTGCATGGATGTGTTGAATGCTTAGATATGTATACATAATTCTGCTTTTGTTCTTGAATGAAGCAATTAAAGCTAAGGGAAAATGCTGTGCTTATCTTGTCAGACACCTTCACACTTAAAATTTTATTCAGTGGACAATAAAAGAAAATGATGAAGCAAATAGAAACTCTCTGCCTCATGTTGTATGTTTTTGTGGATAGGTTTTTTTTATGTCTTAATTGTGCAATTAAATGTCAGGTTTTAATAGAAGACACAATGAAACAGCCCAAATTTATCATCCTGTGTTGTAAAGTTTTAAAAGCATGAATTTGTTTTCCTCATTTGTGATTTGATGAATTGAAAACATTCCCTTGAATCAGTGCAGATTCTTATATTGTTGAATATATATTTTAATTTTATTCAATTTTATTTGAACAGCAGCAACACAAGTAAAGAAAAACCCATCCCTGCTGGATCTTTAGAAAGCTACAAATGTAAACCCTTATGCATCTAAAACAAATAAAACTGAAAATAAGCACACACACAAACAAATACATCTTTTTATTTGCTGCTGTTTTCTGAGGGTTTAGCAGGTCAAGAAGCGAGGCTCTACAAAGCGAGGGATGTCTAAGAGCTTTTTTGCTCCCCTCACACAAAATAACAGGAAACAAACAGGAAACCATAGAAAGGAAGATGCTTATAATATTTTTGATGAATGTTTGTAGCCTTTTTCCTTTTCCTCAGAGCAGGGCTGCTGCAGTTTGTTCAGAGCACTTTGAAAAAACATTCGTTTTAATAATTTCCAGTGAAATTGTGTCTTATTTTTCCTCATTAAGCAAAGAAAAGGAACAACCTTAATGGATTTCTTCATGACCTTTGAAGCAGGATGGATCTACCAATCAGTGAAACTGAAATTATCTAAGTATATGTCTGCATTATGTGTATTTTCTGTTTGTAAATTCTAACTTTGCTAAAGTTAGTGTTTTTGGAAAACACCATCCGTCTAGTTACCCTTGATAATATTGCTTTGGCCTCCAGTCTGAATGAGAAAAAAATAAATTACAGGTTTTGACCTGCACATGTTTTTTAAGTCACTCACAAAACACCACTGCCTTCTCTCCCCTGTATTACCAAAACGAGGAACATGGTGTTTCTGAGTGATGACGGAAAACTAATTCATCTTTATTTTTTATATTATTGTCATTTCATTTCATCAGTCTGATCCAATAAGACTGTGGCAAGCTGCCAAACGCAGCATCCACACTGCTGATGGGAACTGGAGCTGCAAATTGTGTTACTCCAGTTTCATTCCCTTCTTGTGAAAAGGTAAGTTCAAAATAAAATCCAATTCTTCCTTTATGAAGCCCATACGGACAAACTCTTGATGTCTGGAAGAACGCTGTGTGCTGCAGTAACCTGACAAAGCCTCCTCTCAGAGAGGACGGGAGTTGTCCTGTTGCAGATCTACCTGGGTCAGTGGATGACATTAACCTTCTTTACTGTCTTTCAGATCATGACAGCACCTGGATATTGCAAGGGTAGGATCTATGTTGAGAAGATCTATAATCTGGAGCAAAGCTTCTCAACATGGGTGCCATTTTTAGATGGTATAGTGCAGGCAATGCTAGCAAACCTGAAACCTCCACATTTTCATAAGACCAGTGTTGAAAAGAAACTTTTTACAGAACCTCACACGCATGGTTATATGCTTTTAATGTTTTCTGAAGGGTGTCGTTTTTCAGTGGCTATATCGTAAAATTAGCATTATAAGTTAAGTGGTGCAACAATCTCCATCTCTGAGGGATTTGAATGGTGAATGTTTTTGATGAGTGTTCTTCTGAACTGGAATTGAACAGAGAATGTAAGTAAACCTTAATGTTTTTGGTGCAAGATATTCAAGTGGGTAGGTACACTGTGGAGAAAAACAGAGGGAGGTTGTTGTTTTCCCTGTCTGAGACAGAGCCAAGTAACAGATGACAGATCCCGGTGTGTGGAGGGAGACATTTTACCCACCACCAGCTGCAATGGTGGAGCCAGAGGGTACAT